TGGAGTTCTTTGCTCCCTTTTCCTTAGGGAAAATGAGCAGCTGTCTTAGTCATGTGCTGGCTTTTGGAGTGGGAGGGGCAGGAGGTGTTTCTGGGCAGAGAGGGCTCTGGATCAGGTTGGGGATGGTGCTGTGCTCTGTGTCCAATGTGATGTGCAGCATCAGCTGTGCCAAGGCAGAGCAGCTGGAGAGCACGTGTGCAATGTGTAGGGACCAAAGCATGGCAAAGGTGGGTGTGAAAGAGGGGAGAGGACTGTCCCATGCACAGCAGAGTCAGGCAAGAAGTGCAGCCCCACGCTGAGCCTTCTCACTGGGTTTGACTTCATTTCCTCCTCTCCTGATGCTCCAGTCCATGAGCTGGGATTCACTGCTTGCTGTGTTCTTGGAAACTTTGAGAAGCTGACTAAAAATGGTGGAAATGAGCAGTAGTGAAACAAGGTTGAGAGCTATTTCAGTGCTGCTTCTTGCTGCCAGAGTTCCCTGGTCATCCTGATTTCAGATGATCAGAAATCTGCTAGGCTGTTGTGTTATTGAATGTTAAAATCCCTGCCAGTTAAAAGTCCCTGTCACTTGAAGCCTCTCAGCTTTGGAAGCGTTGTCCAGTTGAGACACTGGTGAGAATTGGTACAGGATGCAGCCAAGTTTTTAAGAACATTATATGTGCATCATATTAATGAATTTCCTTCTCTTGCCCACAGCATCAGGAGCTTCATTCCCAGCTGAGAGGAAGAATGTGGTGCTGCCACCACTGCTGGCCATGGCTGCTGCACAACGTGCACCAAACTCAAGCCAAAAGAGACTCAGAACCGAGACTGACAACCTGGACCTGCCTGCCACGGATAACCCTGCCAGGAACCAGGAGCCAAGCACAGGAAAGTGGAGGAAGATCACAGGGAACAATCCCAGGACATCAACACGGATATCCAGGAGAGCTGACAGGAGGATTCCTGCAACCCACACGTGCTGTGTGATTCTCTTCAGAAACATCCTCTCAGATAAGTAACTCTTTCTGATTGTAGCCAACTGCAAGTGCAAGACTGGCAAAAAGGAGTGTGTTTATAAACAGAAATCTTTTAAATCTTGTTTAAAAGTAAGAAACAACAAACCTCTGGGTGTGGCTGCAACCTGGTCCTGAACTTTTATAGCTTGCTTACAAAATAGTTCATAACCCTTGCAGCTTTGCATTTCTGGGTTATAAAATTGGATTTTAATGGGCTGCTTGTTAAAATTTGGCTGTTTACTGTTGGCTGGGGGTGTGGGATTTAGGATGTTTGGGGGAGGGTGGGGCTGTGAGTTAAGGCAGGCTGTGCACACTGTATTTGCTGCTTTCTAATAGCTCATTTTTTCCTGATAATTTTCCTCCTTCCAGCCCTCACTGCTCTCTCAGCCACTGAGAAGGAAACCTGCTGCTGAATGTCTCCATGCTTGGGAGAAGTTTAATGATTCCAAAGCACTGTGAGTTGCCAAGTGAGAAGCCAAGGTTCCATTTCCATTATTGGAGGGATTGCTGGGGAAGGAGGCGAGAGGGGGAGATCCTGGAGCACAGACTATGCCTGGGACAAAGGAACATTTTCTCTGGAAATTTAGGAAAGCCGGGCTTTGGAATTGCTTTAGGCATCCCTCTCTGACCAGCTTCCTCTCTGTGGTTTTTCAGGGATCTGCAGGGGATGAGAAGAATCCTTTCCCAGAGACTTCTCTGCCAAATGAAGACAAGACAAGAAGACTGAAGTTGGAACAGTAAGTGTTTGTTTCACAGCCCTGCCTGCAGTTTCTGAAGGCACCAAGCAGGGCTGGCCCTGCAGCCACCCCAGTTTCTGCTTCCTTATTCCTCATTTTGGGAGCAAAGAGAGAGGGAGGGATGGGGGAGAGCACCTGCTAAGTAGCTTAGCTACGGCTGGGCAGCACTTGGACTTTTGGCTCCTTGCTGGGCTTGTGACCAACATTTGCCAAAAGGAATTCCTAGAGCTGCTGCTACGTTTTTGTACAGTTTAGTCATTACAAATGTTGTGTTGTCCTGTGGTGCAAGCAGTGGGGAATAGTCAGAAGCTGTAACCTGCCATCCCACGGGGCCTTTGCAGTGTCATTTTCCATAAAACACAAAGTTTTGTGGGCCCCTTTGGGCAAAGGGATGCATTGCCATGATCTGCTGGCAAACTTGCAAAAGGAAAAAATCGGGATGTGCCTGGCAGAAGGGCTGGGAGGCTGTAAAAATCCTCTCCATAGAGAGGCAGCTGCTGGAAGTCAAAGAGCTCTGCAGGTTCTCTTTGAGTAAAGTCACTCCAGTCACTGAGTGTCTTCTGCCAGATGTGCCTGTTGGATGAATCTAACCAAATGTTTTCTCTATCCCTCCTTTTGTTCCAGGGATTTCTGCTGAACAAAGCCAAGAGACGTGACCAGGAGCTGGCCTGACCTCATGCACTGAACGAGACAGAATTTACAGTGACTGAGACTGGAGCCCGAGTGCCTTAACTGGGTTTCCAGGATGTAAATAGTTTTCCATGTTCTCTGTTCTGTTTTGGAGCCTCAGAAACAGTTCTGTTTTGTTACTTTTCTTACTGTTCAATGCAAAGCACCTGCATATTTTTTTTGTTTGTTTTAAATACAGTTTTAAGTTCTTTTGGCTACCTCAGGAGAGCTTTGTGTTTTTTGAGGGTAATGCTTTTCTGCCTTGCAAAAGAAGAGATGGAGGGTGGTACCTGCCTTTAAAATAACCAAGTGCAATGAATTTTGGCAATGGGCCCATGTGCTGGTGGTCTATAAACCTAAAATTCTATTATGAATAACTAACAGGACAATATTCCCACCTATTGCTGACAGGAAATCTGCACTCAGATTGTTCCTGAGGGTCTTGCTCAGTTTCAGCCTGGTCACACCCAAGTTTGGGTGGCAAAAGGACACCCAAGGTGTGGTTGGAAACAGCTCTGCCTGTCTCCTGTGCTGAAGGGATGGGACTCACAGGGAGGATTCATTCTTGGGCTGCTTTTTGGCATTTGGGTTGGTGAGGCTGGGAAACTGCAGTGGGTCCCTGGGATTGCTTGGGCATTGTTGTGAGTCTGAGAGGTTCCAGGGAGAGGAATCTCTTCTGATAAAGGAGAGATTAAGTGGCTGGATGTGGAACATAAGGCACATTTTGCATTTGGGTATTTGCCTGCAAGCACTGGTGGTCTCAGGGAGTGTCCAAGAGCAGAATTTGGTACCAAAGTAGGGCATCCTTCCTGTGGGAGAGGACTTGGGCTCCCTCTCCCACAGGAAGCCACACTCTAGGATGGGCCCATTGACTTAGAAACCTGCCAAGGGAACCCAAAAGGGCATAATGAGCTGTTTGCAAGCATTTTTCCCTTGGCACACTAACGCTGGAGGCAGCATCCACAGCACTGGTGTGTTCAGTTGACACCCTTCCCTTCCCAGAGGTTTCCTGGAAATTAAGCTTGCAATATGGCTCAAAGAGGTTATTGTTTTCAGAGAAGTCTTGCTTCTGTGAAAAAAAAGAAAACCCCAAACCCCTCCAAGTTCTGCAGCAACCTTTCAGCTGACTTTGATGGGCTTTGCATCAATGTTATTTATACAAGATATTAAGATCAAGTTCAAAAAATCATTAACAAGTTTTATTTGTACAAGTAGCTTCATTGTCCCTCAAACACAGCTGAGCAGCTTCCTTTCTACAGTTGTATTCCCTGTATTCCAGTATGAAAGCAAGTTTTTGGTAATGGTCATCAAATGGTCAATAAAACATGGATGCTTGATATCAGTGAGTGACTCTGGAATCTTCATTTATCACCATGCTAGTCCAGTGTGTTGAGTTGACAAAGATTTCCTGTTGTGTGACTGCAGCATCCTGCCATCCAATGCTGTGCCTGCCTCAGCCCTCTGCTGCTGTCACATCCCTTCCCTATCTCTGACAGACCTGTGAGAGTGTGGAGAGGATGGTATCCCAAAACAATTTGGCTTACAAGAAAGAATTTTCTCATTTCATGATGAAGAAACAGGTCTGCACACGTTTAGCTGTACCCCCTTTGTAAAATACCTGTTTGTGGGTCTGAGGCTTAAGAAAATGAACAGTAAATAAATACCAGCAACATGTCTGCATTTCCAAAAGGGGTTTGTGTAGAAAGGGCTCCTGCCTGGAGCCCTTCTGCCTTCTGGCCCTGCAGGACCACTGGGATCATGGCTGGGTCTTCCAACATCTGCAAGGGACTTCAAGGGCCTTTTATGTTCACTTTAACAAAAACCTTTCAGGGATAAGCTGCCCTAATGGGTGCAAGGAAGATCCATGTTCCCCCTCCCCGTTTTACCTATCAAACCTTTTTTACTCCCCATCCCTGGAGTTATCCCTGCCCATAGCAGGAGGGTTGGAACAAAACCATCTTTAATGTCCCTTTCAACCCAAGCCATTCTATGATTCTGTGAAACAGTAGAAAAGTTATAAAAATCCATTGTATTTCAACCTCAAGCCAGGTCAGGGGCCTGCAAAGGGTTAGGAAAGATGCTCATTGTTTTCACGTGGGCCTATTCTAGGACATGGACAAGGTGACTTTTTTACCTGTTCATTTTGTCTGCCAGCTTTGACCTTCTATCAGTGAGGAAAACTTTAATTAAGGGCAGTAACTGATCTTCTGCTCAAAACCAGTCACCAGTGGGTGTGAATCAGCATCACAGACATGCAGAGGGGTGACTTCTTTGCCACTCCCAGAACAGCCAGAGCTGCACAGTTGCCTGCTTAGAGCACAGTTGCATTAAAATGCCACAAAGTGGCAGCAACACCAGCCTCGCAGATTGAGCCAAGGAGGAATTACAAATAAAAGTTTCATCTCCTGGCTGGCTGGGATTTATTTGACACCAGTTCCAGTAGAGAAACGTGCAAAGCTTTAGAAAACAAATACAGGTGTGATAAAAGCAGCCAGCAGAAGAAAAAAAAAAGTGGAGTATCTGGAACAGAGTACTTGGGTTTGCAAAACTGCACTGCAGTGATGCCAAAAATAGTTGCAAGAACAGCTTCAGTATAAATAAGAACAGAAAGGCTCATTTGACTGTGGGGAAAATTTAGAGTTAAGAATTTCCCAGTAATTTGTTCTAATTAAGCTTGAATGGGCTAATTGGCTGAATTTTTATCACCTGTTGACAACTCGTTTGTGAAATGAATCTCAGTGTGGTTTGATGTGGGAGCCACAATCCCGTCTCAAGGGATCCTGCTGAGCATCCTGCAGCTGTCCCAGCAGACACAGCAAACCCAGGTGCTGCTTCTTGTTCCCATCCACGTTTGGGAAATTAGTTTGGGCTGCAGCTGGGAATCCATGTAGTCAGCGTTGCATTCAGAGCACCTTGATTTCATCTTTGGCAAACCTTTGCTTAGGAGTTTCCCTGGGTTGGTGGGATTTCAGCCTATTCCTCAGTGATTGCTGTTTGTAGATATTTTTGTTTCTTGATTTGTCTTTCATGCAGCTTGTTTCCAACTCCTAGAAGAGATGAAAACACTCTACAATGAAAATGCAAGTGGAGGTAAGGACACAGAACTGAGGTCCTGCACCCAGGACACAGGGAGGCACCCTGATTTTAAGTAACTGCACACAAAAAAAGCTCAGTTTTCTGCATCCCCCTCTGCAGGCAGGCATTTCTAGTTGGAATAATTTTCCCAGCTGCTGTTCAAACAGGGTGGAAGTTTGCAGTCTTTCTAATAGGAGTGCATTTATGTATTTGGTTTATATTTTGAAATATGCAAGTATCGTGTGCTTTGCCTTCTAAAATTTTCTGTTCTGAGTATTTTAGCAGGATGTCAAATCCAAAGAGCTTTGCTGCCAGCATGGCTCTATTAGGAATGAGACTCTGCTGGGAAAGAGGAGTATTAAATAGTATTTGAAGCTGGGAAAGTATAACCAAATAAAACATAAAAAACATAATTAAAGAAGGTGTATTGGGTAGGGCCTCCTATCACTGTGTGGCTGCTCTGTTCTTCAGCATGAAGTGGGGGGATATTCCTTTGTCATCACTGTTCCCTTGTGGGAACTTAGAAGCTTGGAAGTTTTGAACTTTTTGTCCTTTTTGACACTGACTCTTAGGGGAATACTACTTTTGATTTAAGGCCTTGGAAAAGGCATCCAAATTTGAGTAATAAAGCCACAGGTGTGTAGTTAGAATAGGTGTGGTGTCACATGGTGAAGGGTTTAGAATGTAGGGTTTTTAGAATACAGTAATAGGTATGGGACAAGATGGAAGTTCTTAGGTGTTACCTCTTCCCTCCTTCTTCTTCTTTTTCATGCTTTCAAGTAGTAGTTTTTAGCTAGATAATAAATCCCCCAGTGCAGGTCACAGGTGTTTGGTTATTAGGTCAAAAGTGTAAATCATATAGGCATCAGCTTTTAATTGGACTTTAAATTTAGCTTTAAAAAACCTTGTAACTAACTAGATTAATCTCCTTTTCGCTTGCTTTTAACTAGTAGCTGGAAGTGTTGTAGAACTCTCTATACTTTAGATAAGATTTAATAAACAACCAAGTCCAAACGAAAAATTCATCTCCTTCATGTTTTAATCCTAACTCTGAGTGGACAAAAAAATGAAAACAAGCCACTAATTAACTAGTACTACTAACCCCTAACAAGTGGTCTTTTGTGTGAGGAGTTACACAAAGAGTTGTAAGGGTTTTTCTTAGTTTTTGATTTGTAGTTTCTAGAAGCTTTTTGAATTGTTTTTTTTAAGGTGTTTGTTTGGATTGTTGTTACATGTTGAGGAGTACTTATTTTGCTCTATGTCTTTATTATCTGAGGCAGGGTTGGCTGTGGATCAGGCAAGGTACTAATTGTGTGTTTGTATTTTTTATTGGCATTTGCAAAAGCTAAGCTTTGAAGTAGATGGGGATATGCTATTTCATTACTGTACTCCTTTATTATTGCTAGAGTTAGGTGATTTATGAAAGAAATGAACGACTTGGATACTTTTTGTTTTACTTTTGTATAAATGCTTTTTGAAACTTTAGTAGGTTGGATTTGTATAGTGGTTGAGTTTTTTTTATATTTGAGAGTATGTCTGGAGGCAGGACTGTTGCTTGATCTTGTGGTTTATCATGAGCTTTTTTTGTTCATTTCTTTTAATGTGAGGCTTGCATGTGGACTTTTGGCATAGGATATTTTTAAAATTTGGCGAGAGCTCTTTTTTTTTGACTTTTTATAACATGAATTGTGCATTTTTTAAGATTGTTATGGTAATATATTTGTGGTTAAAAGGTACGAAATCATAATTATTGAAGGTGCTTTTTAATAATTGTTTGAAGCATGGAGAGTTTAAACTGGTTTTTTTTCATTGTTTTAATTACATTGTGTATAAGGGGTGCTCATTCGGGATTTGTATTTTTTTTATGTATAATTGACTTGCATGGTTATTAGTTGTGTTGATGCCACGTTGAAATTTTTTTTCAACTAACAACTTGCATTCCCTTGCCAGGACAGGTGTTAAATCACAACAGCTTTATGTGCAGGCAGGTCACTGCAGTTTGTCACCACAGTAATCCTGTATTTTTATTTCTGGTTATACTTTGTCGTCATTAGCACATTTCCAGCAATAGTGATTCTAAAACCAGCTCTGTACAAAATATATTTAGCTGTGGTGCCATCCAAGATTAACAATGTGGGACACC